GGTTCTTTTCTTCATAGCTAAGGCTCTTCAGTTTGCAACAAAACACCCCTTAAAAGAGGCAGCATGGAGTAATAGAGAGGGCATTGTAAAATTGTTTACTGATTGTTAAGAGGTTTTAGTTAATCACTGAAATGATTAACTATGAATCAGATTTGGATTTGATTGCATAGGTCTCAGCAGTAGTTTGTAAGAGTAATTAGGTACCCTAATTTTTTTTTAAGGCAATTGGGGTTAAGTGACTTGCCCAGGGTCACACAGCTAGTAAGTGTCAAGTGTTTGGTCTGAGGCTGGATTTGAACTGAGGTCCTCCTGACTTCAGGGCCAATGCTCTATCCACTGCACCACCTAGGTACCCTAATTTTAAGGCTTACAAGCTCGTCCTGTCTCATGAGGAAGATAAAGAAAATGAATGGTAGATAAATCAACCCTGGTGAGCAGAGGTTTTGCCTAGCACTGAGTATCTTTGGTATTGAATGCTATCTGGCACAGGACTGTCTACAGGATATTACTCAACTCCATATTTTCCCCATTCCTATAAATTCTAGAGATCCCTCTTGCAAGTCAGCATGACGAAACAAAATGTATATCCCACCCTTCACCTTTTTTATAGGCAAATCACAGTCTCAAATTAGTTTGCATCACGGGACTTTATGTAACTGCCTGCATTAATAGCTGTTCTGAGTGTCAGGTATGTCTCTGGTCACTAAGGGACCACTGACCTCTATTATTGGCAATTGCTAGCCTGGCTAATAAATAGATTTTGCTTGAAACTTTATGCCTCAAGTTATCTTCATTTCATATCATAACAATTGGCAACCCAGATGGGACTTGAGTGATGGGACCTCCAAGGAAGATGCACTGGAGGCTGGACATCCCCCTCATCTCTGAGTCAATTTTTTTTGAGCCAAAATAAGTTCCTGAATGGGAAAATCTATTCAACAAACCAACTAGGAAAATTTCTAGGGTACTTAGTTTTTTGTGTAAGTAGAACTGAATTTGATTTTAAAAACCTTTTAAAATTGATTATGCATGCTGGGCTTGTAGCAGAAAACTTTAAAAGAGAAAGTAAAAAACTTAATGGAGAAATTGGAGAAAAATGTGTAGTCTAGCAACTACTTTTTTTCCCAAGTGAATGTTCACTAAGGCAAAAACATTCAGCTGATAAGACATTGAAACTTTAAGTGATTATTTGGCTGCTTTCTAATTGACCAATTCAAAATTTAAGAATGAGAATCAGTCTTCAGGACCTCCTTATTAATCCATTATGTCATGAACTGGACACCTGCTCTGGCACAAAAACTGGTAGCAGTTGCAGCCAGGCTTTCTTGAGCACGATGCTGTGATACCAGTTTTGAAAGCAAGGGCTACTAGTAGGAATGCAATGAGTCACTGGGAGGGACACCCTGATAATATTTTCTGGGCTACATTAGATCCATGAGGCAAGGACCAGGTTTGTGACTAAGCTCCCAAAGCTGTCTCATCTACTTGGCTGAGTAAATTCAGCCACAGTAGAAAGCAAAGGGTGAACCACAGCTGAACCACATTGGAAGGAAACTCTTCATAGATAAAACTTGAGTAGGAGGTTTTGCCTCCCAAGGCAAGCCTGAAAATTGTGCCTCTACACAATTGGCCTTAAGCAACCTACAGCAGTCTAAAAGGAGCAATTCTTGAACTCAATGCTTTGACTGGGAAGAGTAGGGGATGCCTCACTAGTCACTGTCCTCTTCCACAACAGTGCCACTGGAGGGCCACCTCAGGTACCTTCCTAATTACCCTCCCCTGAGCCACTTGTGATTTCTGCTGTTAGTTCCCCATTTAATATGCCTTTAAAAGATGCCAATGAGGGCAAGTAGCAGTATTCTCATGGGGATCCCCCTGGGAAAATTAAATCCTGCAGTAAAGGTATGCTGCCAATTCAACTGTTAGTGATGAAAACAAGCACTGTTCTGTTAAATACAGTAACCTTTGGGTCTAAGACTGCTAGAGATTTCAGCTGATGTATTATTTTAGCCTGATTATTGCACATTAGCGGAATTAACAATGTCCATTGAACTATTTCACTTCCTCCCCCCCAAAAAAAAATAAATTATGGTGTGGGGCAGCCCTGCCTGATTAGACATGGCCACTGCTTTTTAAGGACCTGCTTCTTTCTCTCCTGTTCTGGCGTATCCTCCTCTTTTGCTCCTCTACTCAATTCATCTTCCAGTATGGTAAAAGATCTAGCATCTTTCAAAAAAAGAGGAACTGGCTACTGGTGGTTTTTCTTTTCAAAAGAGATTTATACCTGCTATCACCCAGCCTGGAAAGATGATACCCTCAAGTCACTTTCTTGTTACCCCAGAAATTGCCTAATATGAACAAAAGAGGAAACCTAGGCAGAAACCTCAGGCAATTGTGGCCACAGCTTAAATACTTCCTGCTCCTTTAAAAACCCTACCACAGGGAATGGGTATGCTTTCAGTGCTGCAGAAAGTTACTTTTTACTAGAGATTACAGAAAGAAAAAGAATAAGAACAAAAACAGGATGTTGGGAGGATCTAAATAGAAATTTACAGTACAAGAGTAAGGTGGAGATAAGTTGCTGTCTTCTTATCTGTGCTGTTATATCTGTGCTTTGTGTTAACCCATGCTGGCAAGTATTTCCAACAGTTTGTTTTGCTCTATGTCTTGATAATTGAACCTACACTTTTTCTTTTGGCCTGATCAACCAATAGAAAAAGACTGTAAAAAGGAAAATATTCAGTCTTCAGAAAAGAAAAATCTCTCTTTTCTCTCTCTGCTTCCAATGCTGGCCACATTGGAGACTACAGAGATGAAAAGCCAGGTACAAAAACTAATTAAAAACTAAATTTGTTATTTTTTTAAAAAGGATGGAATTTGCAGAAAAATTCTAAATCGTGATTTGAATGTTTTTATGACTATTTTCATGAGTTTTTTTTTGGGGGGGGTTACAGTAAACTTTGTAAAGTATGATGAAAACAAAAAAATTGGTAGCTCTATTATATTAATTCACAAAAAGGAGTAACTTTAAGATGACTTGAGATTGCTTTTAAAGTTACAGTTAGAATTTTTAAAATTTTTATTGATCATAAAATTTGTTCAAGAGAGATTTAGTAAAAGTCAGAGTATTAAGATAAGAACAACTTAGGAAAAATAGTACAAGAGGAATTGGAATAAAACTCCTGTGACTTTAAATAATTTCACAAATAAGAACTTAAAAAATACAATACATTTGCTATTTAAAATTAAAGAAAAAGATAATGTGTTGGAGAATAAAAGAATGAGATTAGCTCTCCAACTGTTCAAGTCTCACTTATACAACAAGAGCAGTCAGTCCTACTTTTTGATTAGCAGAATAAGTCCAAAGGCTATTTTCTCAGAGCCAAGATGAATGGAACTAGTTATAAATTAAAGTGAAGTGGGAGTTTCTCAGCCAGCTAAAAACATTTGTTAAATAGAGAGGAAAAAGACAACATGACATAAGGGAAAAGGCACTGGACTTGGAGTCAAGAGCCCCAGGTTCTAGGCCTCACTCAGCCACTTAAGTGGCATGAATTTGGGCAAGACATTTCACCTCATCTAGTGTCATCAGCTGTAAAGTGAGAGTTGGACTAGATGTTCTCTATGGGCCTCTCTATAATACCTTCTATGAAATGAAGGCTATTCCTTTTTCCATGTGGGTATGATTCCCATCTATCTACCCAATCCTTCTGAAAATGATTTTATTAACGTAGTGTCAAGCTTAGTGACATGTGAAATAGGGGAAGAGAGATTACATTAGGTATCAAAATAATGTATGTGAGAGAAGGAGACAGGGATATTGTAGTTATACTTACAAGTGGAAAAAAAGGACACAAAAGAATACCCAGAAAATAACTGGAACAAAGTAGGTATTTAGAAGCTCCCCTTTGGAACTACTACTCTTCCATACCCTCTCTATCACCTCAATAAATGTAACACACAAATAACAAAACAAAAAAAATCAGATTCACTTTACTTTTGGACCAGACCTGTGATTTCAGGGATCTCTTAAATGAGGAAACTTTTTGGCCAATACCAACTGGCAACTGTTCGGTACTTTATATATAGTCTTAAGCTAAATGGGGTACTAAGAGATTTGCCCAGGGTAAACAAAGCCGGTATGTATGGAAGAATCTGAACCCAGGTCTTCCTGAATTCAAAGTCTGTTCTTTATCCAATATATCACACTGCCTTTCTCCTCACTTATTTTCAGGTTACCTCAACAGATTCCATTCCTATTTTTGCATATGGCTTCCTCCCACCCTTTTCCTTCTGTCCCCCCCCCATACAGTTTTTTGTTTTAGTCAAGTATTGTTCAGATTATGGCTTCTCAGAACATCAGTGACAACTTGATTAAAACTTTAGGAATATAGAAATGAAAAGACCTGTTGGCCCAAACTACACTTTTCTAGGCAATTAGTTCTTCTCTATACAATATCTCCTGAATACCAACGCATACATACACACAACCTGAAATGCCTAAAATGTCAATTAATACAAAGCACAACAACAGAAAGGAAAACAATCCCAAACATTTAGTAGAGTTTTCTATACAGAGACTATGAACTTGACCTTGCAGGAAAGCGGCCTAGCTTATACCCTTCCCTTGTAGAATCGAACACTAAAAGACCTAAAGGATAGGAATGATGGTTTCTTGGTGTTGTTAGAACACCTAACTGGGAAAAGTCTGAAAAGAAATACATTTGAGAAATGTAATGTGGAATGGATCCGGTTTGATACAGGCATCCAGGATCCATGGCCCAGAAACACTAACACTGCGCTTGCTCCATGCTGATACATCTTTAAGTAACCAAAGATAACGTAAACTTATGAGTTTATTGTTGGCATGCTGACTTCTTTGTGTGTTTCCCTATATATCAAACGAGCGCAGTCAGTAGGTGCCACTACTCCTTGTCTCGACTGGCTACCGTGAAAATAAATAATAAGCCTTTTATTTATGGCTCCACTGTCTTTCACAGGTCTGGCCGAATCCAGTGTGAGCCTGCATGGAGCTGAGCTTCTGCATTACAAGAAATTAGCATTCTCAAGACTGCAGAGGAAACTATTTTTTTTACAATGGAAAGCAGCTAAGTTAATTCTGCTGAACCACTGCACCACTCAGATACACACAGGAAAAAAAAGACAGCTGCTTGTTACTTATGATGGGAAACAAAAGAAAATTACCGCCTCAATTACATGGCAATGCTAGTATGTCATTCAGTTAAGTCATTATTAAATTGCAGTATTTAAGCTGTGTTCGATTTTCTGCCTTAGACTGTGAATAGAGTTATCTGGTCTGTTTTTATCCTGAAAATCTCCAGTGATCAATTAAAAAGCTCCTAAAGGGTTAGTCACCAAATGTCTTTGCAGGGAGATCACACACACCATTTAAATACATTTAATTTTCCTAAAGAAATTCAGCTGTGCAGCTGGCTCTAGCTGTATGTTTCCTAAATGAGAGAAAACATGGAGACCTTTCCTTTTAGAAGGTGCAAATATCAAAAGCTGAGTAAGCAATCTGCAAACAGAAAAGCATGAGATTATTTTTTTGTTTCTTTGGCTTAGAGGGGAGGTGGCAAGGGTGTTATCGCTATTATATGTTACTTCAAAATCTATGTACCAAAATGAGCATCTGCATCCCATTTCCCCATGACAGAACAGGACAGCTAGGTCTGCAGAGCAAACCTCATGTAGAGTTGCTATGTGATGGCCCAAGCTCTTCCTCAGTTATTCTACAAGTAACAAGTATTCCCTCCAAGATGCTGGCAATGGCAGGCCCTTTACTGCATCTGGCAGATACTGGAGTCCCAGGCTATGTCGAACAGCATATAGAGACAATGTTTTTAGGGTTCCTGGGGCAGAGTACAGCACAGTCAGTTTTTCACAAAGTTGTGGGTCTTTGGCTACCTCACCAGGCATGGTGCCATTTTTCCATAATTCAAAGTGTCCGACAGATCTGTGGAGGAGCTCAAAGCAAGAATCCTCTTTTTCTGTTCCTACTCCCCTAACCAACAGAGCCACCAACAGGGAGATAGGTGTCTGGCCCTTTAAGTTGGTGACCTTGACCTCTGCACCATAGTCAAGGAGTATGCTAACACTCTCAAGGTTTCCCTTCATGGCTGCCCAGCTGAGTGGTGTGTCATTGTTGTAACCCCAAGGCATTGATGGAGGCACCAACTTTCTAAAGGGCCCTTACACACTCAGCATTATTCTTAAAGGCTGCCCAGTGAAGTGGGGTATCTCTGTTGCCATGTAGCGCATTGGGGTTTGCACCATATTCCAACAGGACTTCCACACAGGCTTCATCTTTCTCAGCTGCATAATGGAGAGCCATCTGGTTATAGCCATCTAGAGCATTTACCTAGAAATAACAAAGAATAATAAATAATAAAATAATAAAGAAATAACAAATACATTACAGTGGATATAACAAGCAGACACAGAATGTCAGGCAGATCCAAATTATTCATCTACACACCATCACTAATAATCTATCATGCTGCACAAAGACAGGTACCTGGGGTGGGAGGAGTAATCAGCTTTGAATAATCATATAAGGCAATAGGAAGACAAAGGAAGTTCACAGAAAAAGGTATTGATTACTTGGCAGTAACCATTTTAAACAAGTACATATTCCATATCTGTAAGGGTAGTCTGAAGTTCCCTGGAAGTAAGTTTAGAAGGCAGGGTATGAAGGGAGGTGTTTCTGTAGTAGCCCCATAAAGCTCTTAGCAGAGAAGCTAGCTGATATTTCTTTAGTAAGAAGAAATATTCTGTTAGGATTCCAAGGAGGAAAGTTTAAAAAGTGACTGGAGGAAAAAGATTCTTTAGTCCTAAATCCTTAATTAACAGGAATAACCATCAGCTACTACAAATACAACTAAAGCTGTCAAAGAGAAAAAATAGAACCACCCTGTTAACAGAGGGGGAAAGAAAACTTTTAAAGAACTTTGGTTTAGTTCTTAGTTTAGTTTAGTTCTTACCACAGAGACAGTTATTAGTTACAGAAAAATTAGCTCTGAACTCATGGACTCCTATCTGTTCTGAACTCTCCAGGGCTCTGCTGTTATCTTTCCTCTTCTGTCTCATCTTTTGACTATGCTGCTACTACTTAGTACTTCCACAACAGGGTAAGGTGAGAAGGAAGAGGATGCAGCTTAAACTCATCTTTTGCTACTAAGCAGTGATGAGACAGGCTTGGTAAAGAAAACCTTTAAGAGAGTAGAAATTTTGGATTATTAATCTCCTTTATCCCAGTTCTCTTGGTCCTCTATAGTTAAGAACAATCTAGAGAAAGCTCTAATATACACAGTATTATTAATTTGGACAAAACTATAAGGATGTCAGTTGCTATATTCCATATTCACATATTGCACTCCTAATCCATAAACTCATTCAGCTGCCCTAAAATATGCTGCTATTGGCCTTAAACTTGTGATGGCCACAACTGAAGGAAAACAAAATTGAGACCAATACTCACAACAGCACAGAGGTGGGGATAACAGCAGAGAAGGCAGAATTCCCAGGAAGGGATGAGAGGTATATCTTCATTTTCATTTAATGTTGGGAGGCTGTGTCTGCCATGAGGTCCAACCTTAGACCAGACAATGTAAGAGTTAGGTTGGGGGTTGACTTCCTTTGTACAGTTCCAGTTCATTCTCCATCCAAAAAAAAAAAGTTTCAAGGGTATTGAAGAGTGCCCCCCAAAAAAGTGGGCTGGGAACAAAAAAGGGAAAGAGAAATTACTCCTCAGTTAACACCAACAACAGTTCAAATTAAGGAGGGGAAAGGTGACTGGAGTACACAATGGGGCTGATAAACAACAGATATTCATGGCTCTAGCTAGCCACCATGATGCCTTGCAATAAAAGTGGTTCTAACCAATGGCACCACTAACTAGAGGGCAAGAAAAAAAGGTGGAGATGTATGGAGGAGAGAACTGATTCTTGGAAAATATGATGTTTTTCAACGAAGTGTTAGAGTAGGTTATTAAAAACAAATTACCAGAGCAGCTAGGTGGCGCAGTGGATAGAGCACCAGCCCTGAAGTCAGGAGGACTTGAGTTCAAATATGACCTCAGACCAAACACTTGACACTTACTAGCTGTGTGACCCTGGGCAAGTCACTTAACCCCAATTGCCAAAAAAAGAAATTATCTCAGCTCTTTTTTCCAAGAGTAACTCCATACAGTCAGCATCTGACACCATGCATGCACAGTGCAGTGGCTTCAGTGTGCCATGAGTACAATTCACATCAGCTCCCTATAGGCAGAAAAACAGAGAACTTTCATCAGTTTTGCCTAAGTAGTGAGACCCTAGTCAGACTAGGAAGAATTTGCTATTTTAAGGAAAGCTGGAATGGAATGAAAATGGAATCATTTCCCTCTTTCATCATGTTCTGAAAAAGCTAGTCAGACAGGCAGGGAAAAGGCTCAAGACTGGGTACCAGGGAAAATGAGTCCTGCCTCCACCAGACATACCATGCAAAATAAATACAGCAACCCCGTTTCTTCATTTGAAAACTAGAGAAATATAGCTCTACTGTTGCAGACAATCAAATAAAGCACTGCCAATTTTTTTTTTGAATCACACTAATAACCACCTTTATTAAGAAGTCTAACTCTCAGACCACCATCAAAAGCTCAATCCTATCATCTGTACCAACAGTGAAGCCCTTGTTAGACTAAGCAGAATTTGCTATGTTGAAGAAAGCTGGAATATTGAGACACTTTCCTATCCCACTATGCTCTTTAGAAGGTAGGGCAACAACACTATCAGCATGGGGACCAGGAAAATCAGGCAACAACTCTCCTGCCCTTTTAATGATGTTACAACTAACAAGAGTGGAATGAAACTTAATATCCATTTTTTGTTCATAAAAATCATATGAATCCACTGCAACTTCATTAGGTAGTATTACCAATATGCAGCACAGGAATTTTATTTATTTATTTTGGCTAGGCAATGGGGGTAAGTGACTTGCCCACGGTCACATAGCCAGTAAGTGTCAAGCGTCTCAGGTCACATTTGAACTCCGGTACTTCTCACTTTAGGGCCAGTGCTCTATCCATTGCGACACTTAAGCTAGCCCCCGTATGGGAATTTTAAAGGTTGTTTGGCCCAGCAGTAGTGTTGCTCCTAATGTAAATTTGAAAAAAACATAATTAAGAAATAGCCAAAGTCAGGCTAATTCAACAGAAGAGCAGAATCAGAACTTGAGAGTTTCTAGTATGGAGTCCTTTACCAAGACTTAATTAACTGCACATTTTACTTTTCACAACCACAAAACATCAGGCTGCTCACAATGGTTCTTAAGTCTCACGTACTACTACCATGACAATGGTCTGGTTGCATTCTGAAGCAGGCAAGAAACTGTACCTGCCACGACTGCCCGACAGAAATTTATGGTCAGGTGCCACAGATTTTCTAAAAGTCATAGATTTATAACCAGCATTTATTTCTTAAATATAATGTCACATTGTGCTTTTCAAAAGTTAGAAAACTACCCAAAGTAAGAAACTGTAGCATTCGAGCAATAGAGCAGTACATAGTAACACAAAAATATACTTTGACCCAGTAGTCTTAGGAATATCCCCTGAAAGTGTCATAAAGAACAACAAAAAAAAGGAACTGCATGACGATTTTCATAGCTGCGTTATACATAAATGCAAAAAAATCTAATTAACCTAAATGCCCAACAATAGAGGAATGACTAAATAAACTGTGGTACACTAATGCAACTAACATAGTATAATACACAAATATGAAGAATACAAAAAAATGTGAAAAGTAATGAAATGATGTAATGAAGTAATGCAAAACGTTTAAAAAAAAACTAGAAATACAGTACACACAATTTTAAAGCCATATAAGAGGAAAACAACTTGGACTTTTTACACATTGAAATTAAACTGTAAACAGCTTCCCAAATACAGGATTTTGTTCCATCAGTTGTTTTTTTCCGTTGTTGTTATTGTTCAGTCATGTCCAACTGGGACACTCTCCGTGGGGTTTTTTCTTGGCAAAGATACTGGAGCATTTTGCTATTTCCTCCTCCAGTGTGTCCCCACTTTATAAATGAGGAACTGAGGCAAACATGGGCTTCATGACTTGCCCAAGGTCACACAAATGTCTGAGGCTGCATTTGAACTCAGGAATCTTCCTTGACTCCAGGCCCAGTGCACTATCCACTGTACCACCTAGTTGCCCCACCCCCCTGCCCTTCCCCCAAGTTGGTTTTACTGATGCTCA